AGAGGCCTGAGGAAGGTGGGCTCTCCAATCTGTCATCCTGGCCTGGCCAAGGTCCCACCTCCCCAGCCATAGATGAATGCTCACTGCACTGGCACCCACCCTTGTATGAAACAGAAAATAAAGCTGTCATGATTCTATACTTTGGTATGTAACCTCCCCCTCCACCTGCCCAACACACCCATCTGTGTCTGTAAAACTCATTCAATCCCTCGTGTGCTCATCGTGTCATCCTTCCCAATGCTCCTGACACAGCAGAGGGATTTGAGAGGCGACTTGCAGAGCCTCGGCCGCTACAGCTTCTGTTGTCCTGACTGGATCCTCCTGAAGGCCTCCACGTCCAATGGGAGGTAGCAGCCTTGCCTGGAGTCCAGGAAGTACAGCCTGTCCTTCACCACGGTGGGGTCAAATCCCTCCCTGCGCAGCTCCATCTTCTGGAACTTGTAGGTGCCTGTGGTGGAAGCAGCAAGGGGTTAGGGACAGCAGTGGGGAAGGAAGGCGGCCTGTGGACATCATGGCAGCTCCCTACGACTCCACTCCACCTTCTCGATAGGGGCCTCCTCTTTAGAAATCAAGCCTGCTACTAGCAACACCCACAAGGAGGGAATTAGCCCATCCAGCCCCTTATAAGATCCTGCCCATAGATGACGGAGATGGGACCAGAAGACATGGCCCTTGTGAGCAGAATTCTAAGGCTGTGTTGCACCTTTGGGCAACTCACCTAATGTCTCTCAGTGAATCGCCCCTATTCCAGCCAGGAAGACAGGATAACACTCCTGGCTGTTTGTCCATTAAAAAGGAAAGCAAGCTGGGCCCTCCAGCCGGGGCGGGCTCACCTGTCTTGTGGACTTCTGGCAGCACTCGCAGGAAGACGGGCCGGGCGTACAAGGGCAGGGCCTTCTTCAGCTCATTGGCAAAGCTCTCCAGGTTGCAGGAATTCTTGGAGTCAGCAATGGCTGCCATCCCCGCTTTCCCCTCGGTGCCTGGAACAGGACCGAAGGGGACACTCAGTCACTCACATGCCACCTCCCCCAGTCCGGGAGCAGCTTCAGCAAGCTAGATGCTCCATTAAATAATGCATCAGACATACAGTCTGTCCTTCAGCACCCCCCCCCTCCCACACACACACTTCAGTCCACAACAACGACCCCCTTGCCAGCATCTGCCTGTGGTTTGAATACACCTCCAGGGACCGAGTTTCTCGACACTGCATCCCCATCATCGGGCATGGTTTTGGCCAGATGTCATTGCCCTACAAGCCAAGGCACACCAGTGATGCCCAGTGGCCACCAATGTTCCCGCTAAGTTTTGCCCACTCATGTGCAGAACAAATTTTGTTGTGTGCCCCAAGGCATATGCAGATGTGCCCCACCAGTAGAAACAAATGCTGCAGGCTGTGAGCACTCTGCTCATCAACTGGGCAGCCCCTGAATCTCTCCTGGGTGGCCATCCAAGAGCTCATTTTACAGGGAACACTAGTGCCACCTCATCCCATTAGAGGTGCCTCTGACTGAGTTAACTCCCAAGATCAGTGACTGTGGGTTGACTCTGCCCTGCACCTCGTGTCATCATTTGCACCCAGGCAAATCAGAACAACTGGAAACTCTCACTTATAGCATGGCCTAGAGATGGGAAGTTCTGTGCCCCAATCCTGACCTTTCCTCCTCCTTCTCACATGAAGCAGGATTAACAACATGACTCCCAGGATGGAGGCCAGGGTTCAGGCACCATGTGCCAAAAGGATGAAAGCCCGTCACCCCTGCACCCAGGGCAAAGGAAGACTGGCAAGAGCTGCTCCCCTCAGCCTTGGTTACCTGGCACCTCCACCCCGTAGACGACGACGTCTGTCAGATGGAGGATGCGGCTCAGAGTCCCCTCCACCTCTGTCGTGGAGACGTTCTCACCCTTCCAACGGAAGGTGTCCCCAGTGCGGTCCCGGAAGTACATGTAGCCGTATTCGTCCATCACCAGCACATCTCCTGGGGGAGCCAGAGGAAGTCAGAAGAGCGTAAAGGTTCCCAGGGTCGGCATTACTAGGACGCTGCTCTTCTAGAGCGCCCTCTACCCGGGGCTCTCCAAGCACTTCCTGAACATCCGCCTCATTATCCCCCACCTCGAGGTAGGTCCCGAGTGTTCGCTCCATTCAACAGCTAGGGACCTGACCTGCTATCAGGAGTTGTGAGCTGGGAATAGAACCCAGGAGAACTGGCTCTGGGGCTGCACAGAGCAGCGGAAGGAATCATGCTGGTCACTGCAGTGACAGCCTGCACTTAACAATACATCAAGATTCTGTCACTTGGACAAGTCACCAAGGGAACCACCTAGGAGAAATGGGGGAGGAGGGGCAGTAGCTCTTTTAAAGTTTGAACCCCTGGATTTCATACTTGAAGTCTGCTTAAAGCTGCATGCCCTGGCTCCAGAGGCAGTTCTTAACTGCAACAGAGTTTGAGCTGCTTGCAGCTTTGTCTTGGGGATGGAGAGTTTGTTGTAAAAAGAGAGAGGCATGTGATTAAGAATAACAAAAGACTGGGCATTCAAGTAACTGAAGGGTTGTTAGATCATCATGAAAACATTGCCATGTACTTAAAATATGGGGGGGGGGGGAGGAGGAAGAGTAGCAATGAGTGTTGTGCTGCTGGGATTTGCATTTCAACCAGTACTTTTCAATTTATAAATGTTCTTGAAAAGGTGCAAACAATGAGATGGCAAAATTGGCAGATACTACAAAATTACTAAAAACAGGTAAGTTCAAAGCTGAACTGCAAAGACTCACAAAAGGATCTCACAGAACTGGATGATTGGGCAATACAAGGGCAGATGGAATTCAGTGTTGATAAATGCAAAGTAATGCATGTGGAAAAATATAATCCCAACTATACATACAAAAATGATGGGGTCTAAAATAGCTGTTACCACTCAAGAAAGATCTTGGAATCATTGTGGATAGTTCCCTGAAAACATCTGCTCAATGTGCAGTAGCAGTCTAAAAACTAAAAAATAACAGAATATTGGGAATCATTCGGAAAGGAATAGATAAGACAGAAAATATATTGCCTCTATATAAAGTCATGGAATGCCCACATCTTGAATAATGTATGCAGATTTGGTCACCCCATCTAAGAAAGATATACTGGATTCGGAAAATGTACAGAAAGGGCAACAGAAATGATTTGGGGTAGGGAACAGCTTCCATATGATTAACAAGGCTGGGACTTTTCAGCTTGGTAAGGGATGGGGGATATGTTAGAGGTCTAGAAAATCATGAGTGGAGTGGAAAAATAGAATAAGGAAATGTTATTTCCTCCTTCACTATAACAACACAAGAAGCTGACCCAGTTACATTTATAGGCAGCAGATTTAAAAAAAAAATTTTCCCAGTCAACCTGTGGAATTCTTTGCCAGGAGATGGTAAAAAGCCCAAACTATAACAGGGTTCCAATAAACACAAAATAAGTTCAAGGAGGATAGGTCCATCAATGGCTACTAGCCAGAGGGGCAGGAATGGTGCTCCCAGCCTCTGTTTGTCAGAGGCTGGAAATGAATGACCGGAAAGGGATCATTTGATGATCCCTGTTCTGTTCACTCCCTCTGGGGCATCTAGCATTGATCACTGTTGGAAGACAGGATACTGGGGTAGATGGAGCATTGGTCTGACCCAGTATGGCCAGTCTGATCTCATATAGAGCCCAAAAATATCTGCCCCCTGCAGACCTTACTCCACTTCCAGAGCTGAGAGACTGTCAGGACTCCTGGGCTCTTCCTCTGCAGTTAGTAACAAAATAATAATATACATTACAATGTTAAGGCTAACCAGTGTTCCCTAAGTGACTTGTCACAAGATGTCAGGATGAATATTAAAACTGAGTGGGTCTAATATTTATTAGAATTTTCTTTCCTTTATGTAGGATTTAGATACAGTGCTCCTGTCAGCTAATTGCTAAGGTGTCTGCCAAACAAGCTAGAGCTTTCCAGTGCCTTGGTAGTGCTAGAAGAGGTGATATATGTGTGGGGGGAGGGAGAGGAGAGGTGAATGGAATCATTCCTCTCCCAGTTTGCTGCTTGGCTTGTACTGTGCATGCTTAGTATCACTGTTGAAGCTGCTGTCCTCAGTCTGCCCCCCCATGCTCTCACTCTCTTCCCCCCCACCTCCATAAGGGCATGTACAGGTCACACCCTCCCATCAAAATCTGAAGTGGCACCCCTGCAATTCACTTCCCCAGGAGGCCTCGTATGGATAAACTACCCAGCCCCAGCTCTTGGGTCAGGGAGAGGGGTTGGGATTCTTCATTCCTGTCTGCAGTGGCAGGTGGAGACTCTGGAAGGGCTAAGTGCAGTCGAGAAAGACTGCACAGGGACAGTAAGCAGAGGGTTAGCTAAAGGCCTCACTAGGACTAGCAAGGGGACCAAATGAACCCCTCCTCTCAGAGTGCACCCTCTGCAGCCAGGGGAAGGGCCCTCACCGGTAAGATACACCGAGTCCCCCTTGGTGAACACATCATGGCCGATCTTCTTGCTGGTGGCCGACTGGTTCAGGTACCCATCGAAGTGCAGCAGAGGGTTGCTCTGGATGATGCGTCCTACCAGCTGTCCCGGCTCCCCTGTGGGCAGAGAGTGAGGGATACGCTCAATCCCAGCCATTCTGCATGGCAGGCACATGTCCTGCCTTGGTGCAGGCCGGACAGTGGGCGGAGATGGCACTTTCAGGACACGCAGGCTCTGCTGTGCAAACAGCTGCTAGCGTCCTGGCGTCCCGCTTATCCTCAGCAAGCTTCCCCCATGCAGCCCTCCCAGCATGGCTCAACCCTGACTGAAAAGAATCTCCAGCTGAGCTCCTCTCTCTATGGCCATTGTCTCCATGGCCCATTCAGAGCTTGGGCTCTCCACTAAACTGGCCCCAGGATGGCCAGGGAGTTCCAGTGATTGCAGAACCACTGAAAAAGGGCTGAGAACCACCACACTCACTGCACATCCAACACCCAGTACCTGGTAACATTGTCTCACCCCTATTGAACTGGCAATTTCGACAACAACGTACAGACCCCACCGCTGGGGAACAGTGTCTAATGACAGCAGAGGATGCTTCTTGTCTCCGTTCTGATGAGTATCATCGGCACGTTCAGTCGCAAAGCAGGTCTCTAGTTCAGGGCTCACGTATGTGGGACAGAAGGACATACCAACAGACAGAGGCTGCTCCCCGCATCACTCCATCCCCCTTCACCTGGTTTACAGCGGATGCACAGTCCATCTGGCCCACGGATCAGCTCCATGGTGTCCTCGTCCACCCTCACCAAGGTGACAGGGTAAATCCCGGGCAAGATCCTACTGTTGAAGCCACAGGAACCAACCTGGAATTGACAGAAGGCAGAGACATAGTCCAATGGCAGCTGGAAGTCTCATTGTCCTCACCCTCGCTTCCCTCTTATAGCCCCCTGCTGCCAGCCCATGGGATTGGCCAGGATATATGAGAGAGAGAGACACAAATTGCTGCTTTCCCAAGGTCACTCAAAGCTCCCTGCCAATGTCAGCAGAAGGGCCTCACACCTGCCTGATGTCCCCAATGAAATCTGCTCCTGCCCCTAGAGCCTCACCATGGCCTGCTCTGACAGCCCTGTAGGCACAGAGCGCATGAGCCACCCCTCCAGGAGCACCAAGGTCACGTGTCTGCACAAGACATCATGGTCACTCTCAGCAGCTGAGGGGGAGGGTGGAGAGGAGGGAGGGCTGGGCTGCAGCAGGTGGGGAGATGCTGCAGCACTGGCAGAAAGACAGACACAGAGGGGGGGGTCCGTACGTTGTTGTCGAAATTGCCGAGGCTGCAGTTGCACTCAGTGGCACCATAGAACTCAGCGACTTGGGGGATCCCGAAGCGGGAGATGAATTCTTTCCAGATGGACATCCGCAGCCCGTTCCCAAGCGCCATGCGCACCCGGTGCTGCTGCTCCATCTCCTGGTACGGCTGGTTCAGGAGGTAGCGGCAGATCTCCCCAATGTACTGGACAATCTGCAGAAGAGAAGGGAAACATGACACACCCTTCGACAGCACCCTACACACAGGACCTGAGCACTTGAGGAGTGACAAGCCTCATTGTACGGATGGAGAAACAGAGACAGAAGAAGAGACTTGCCCCAGGTCACCCGGTGAGTCAGTGGCAGAGCCAGGAATGGCACCCAAGAGTCCTGCTTGTCTATTCTGTGCCTCCCACCTAGCTGGCTGCTTTCTCTTAGGTTGGAATACCTAGCCTGGCAATCCCTGTTTTGCTCGGAGGAGACAATACCAACTGCCCTTCAGAGCAGGATACAATAAAGAGCAGGAGCAAGGAAAGGATGGGGAATTACTTGGATTGTAAGCGCCTTGCAGCAGGGAGCTGCGTTTGGTCTGTGTTTGTGGAGCACCTAAGGCAGCAGGTACCTGGTTTGACTGGGGCGAAAGCTAACATCCCTCATCAGACCTTACAGTCATTGCCACAGGAAACTGTCAGCCAAAGCTTCTGTCTGAAGACATCCATGGCCTCCACTGAACAGACTCTCAGTGTTCCTCAGCCAGCTCTTCCCATGCCCCCACCTGCCACTTGGCTCCTACACCCCACTGCCTCACCGTACAGTTGTACTTCACACAGTCGTCCCAGAAGTGAGAGGCTGAAAACTTCTTGCGGATCACCACAGTCATCCCCTGCAGGAGGCACTGGCCAATCCCGACAATGTTACCTGGGCAAGTGGGAGTGGAGGGGAAACCATTAACCTCCTGCTGCTGCCAACTGGACAGGCTGGCTTGAGAATACAGAGCCTTTCACCTTGAGGCATCTGGTTTGAATCCAGGGACCTCCATCCCAAGGCTGTTTGATGGCCTATGTGAGGGGAGCTGGAGGACTCAGGCGAGTTCTCAATGGGAGGTGCCCATTTCCCAAAGTCACCATCACTAGATGGGCCCCCTTGATACCCACTTAGATCTCTAAGCATCTTACAGAGGAAAGAGAGCATCACTACCCGCTTTATATATGGAGAAACTGAGGGGGACAGCCAGGTGGTGATATGCCCAAACTTACTCAGTGAAGAGTCAGGAACAGATCTCAGGGGTCTGTACTATCAGTTTCCTGATCTAGTCACTATCTGCCTCATGCGGGGCTCCCTGTGCTACAAGGTGGTTCCAATGGGATATATGAAGACCCCAGTCCTTCGCACTGATCCAGTGGGGGACAGCCAGACAAGTGTACAGCAGAGGATAGTTACAACAGTCCCTGGACTGCGAGACTGCTGTCGTGACAGGCAAGGACAAAGGAGGCAGAGGCTTGGGCGGGGAGATGCAGGAGCCAGGGCTCAGAGCATGCACAATGCTCAGTACCTGCAGCATGGTAGAGAGGGAGACAGTCATACATCACGTCCTCTGGCCTCATGCGGAACCCGTAATACACCAGGGACGCCATGCGATAGTACCTGGGGCAGAGTAAGTGAGTGCATCAGTAGCCATGTCAGAGCAACAGCCCAGCAGGGCCCTCTGCTGCTAGCGGGGGTCCAGATTAAGGCTGTTAAGAGGAAGGTAACTCAGTCATGAGTCAATAAGGGAAGGTGCTCAGAAGGAGCCGGGGCTCTGCTGTTTAAATGTAGTAAGAAACAGGCGTGCAGGCAGCCCAGCTCCTACAACATTTAAACTGCTGAGCTGTAACAGGGGTAGCTTCTGGACCTGGCATGAGCCACGACTGAGCCAGGTTTGCTAAGTCCCAGCTCGCACTGTGTCCAGCAGCCCCTGACTGCAGGGGGTCCCAGCAGGGAGTTGGAATTCTCCGTGGACAGGAGCTGCTGCCAGAGCAGCCTTCCCTGGCCCCCCTGCACAGCAGAGGGAGGGGAGAAAGCGGTACCGTGGAGACAGTGCTGGGGTAGAGGAACCAGCTTTTAAGCCGCTCCCCTCAGCACTGGCTCCTACTTCCTCCCTCCCTTGCTGCCTCTGATGTAGAGGCAGCAAGGGGTGGGGGGAATGCAAGTAGTCAACTCGACTATCCGATAAGCCAAGGCTCTTTTACATCTCTAGTCCAGATCCCACTCCCATTCCCCTTGCATCCCTGCCCAACTCTCCCTTACCTGCAATTGACCACGATGGCTGCCTTGGGCATCCCCGTCGTGCCAGAGGTGTAGATGTAGAAGAGTTTATCTGGAGGGCAGGTGGGGAAGGCAGGCAGAGGATTCAGCCTCACATCAGCGTCTCACACCCCTTAGCACCTCGCACACTTTTCCCCCACAGAGCCAGCAGGGCTGGATCAGGCTACTGACCACTTGCTCCCTGCCCGGTGGCTACGGCCACCCCTCCCCAGGCTGCCATCAAGTCAGCTTGCCAAGCTGGCCTCACTCTTTGTACAGCACTACAGCACCTTGGGGCTCTTCACCACACCAGTGGGTTCAGGCCAGGTAAATACTCTGATGGGAGACCTCTGAAGAGATCAGTGCACTAAAACTCAGCTTCTGTCTCAGCGCTCAGCCCGGCTCACCCAACAGTATGATAGCCAACTTCCCAGCGCGCACAGAGCAGTCGGACATAAGCAGTACACCCGCCCCCTCTCTGCCGCTTACCTGCCTGGGGCTGGATTGGTTTCACTCCAGGGGGAGCTGCAGCAGATGAGCTGCTAGCGCTCCCGGATTACCCTTTGCCATTGCTGGATGACACATGGGAAGAGCACAGAGACCCTCTCCCTCCACACCTCGCAACATGGGACATACCTAGGAAGCCCTTCTTTGGAGGGCTTGGCAGGTGCCGAGAAGCCGTCTCTAGGAGGGGGTCCAGGTGTTCTGTGCCTGGGGGAGCGGATTCTGGATTCCACTCTCCAGAGCAGAAGAGACGAATGGATTTCCCCACGGAGGGCTGAACCTCCTGCATGGCTGGGAAGGAAGGAGAGCACAGTGAGAGGTGGCGGGGGTTAAAGCGTACAAAGCCCCCTATTTTCAAAGCTGGCATTGCATCCATATCCTGCCCCAGCTCTGGTCTGCCTTCCCCCAGCCTGAGACAGCAACTGGCTCTCGCTTCACCCAGGCTAGGGTCTAGAGCAGCGACACTGACCCTAGAGCAGCGACACTGACCCTAGAGCAGCGACACTGACCCTAGAGCAGGAGTACCCTTAGGGATACTCGAGAGAAGTCCGGGGGGGGGGGAAGATGCAGGGGGGGGGGGGGTACGTCAACAACTGAAATTTGGAGAAAACTTAATTTTTGTTTTAAGTTTTACAGCGTTTTATTATTTTACACCCAAACATTTCATTGCCCACTCGGCTACAAATAAGTTGTTTAAACAAATGTGTTGCAACAGTAGAAAAAAATCTGTGTCTGAAAACTGTAGGTACTGGGGGGTACTTATTTTTTTTAAAAAAAGGGGTACTTTATTTATTTAAAAAAAAAAGTTGAGAAACTGCTCTAGAGAGCAGTGTCAGACTGTCCATGAAATTGCTGCCACCATAACTGGGAGGCTTCTGTCAGTCTCCAAACCTGGAATGTTCCTGATGGCCACAGCCTAGGACCATTTTAGGTTCTATTAAGAAAAAGAAAATCAAAAACTCCCGTTTCTCCTCTGCCCCATCAGTGTCTCAGGTGAATTCAACGCAGACGATGTTTGCGGACAACGCTGAGCAAAGGCCAGGAGAGCTGGAACGAGTGGTGCCTGGGGAGGTGTCAGCACCTCTGGCTTGGAGTAATAATAGATGAATGTTGGCTTCCCCCTACATAGGCTGTACCGTTCTGGGCAATGGCGTTTAGCCCGTCCCTCTACCATAAAATTGTTCCAGCACCCTGACTAAAACAAAATGGAGCCAAACTGCAGAGTGACCTCTGGGCACTGGAGCTGCAGGCAACCAGACAGCAAGTGTGAAATACTGGGACGGAAGTGGAAAAAGCCCCAAATATCAGGACTGTCCCTATAAAATTGGGACATCTGGTCACCAGAAGAGAATCCTAACAAATGTGAAATCTTGCTGTCGGGTGAAGAGACCAACAGTACCGACACATGATGGGGGAAGTCACCAAGCTGCCATAGCTGTCCCCAAAACGGGAGCTGGCTTTCATCCAGTCCTCTGACTTGACTCACTTGTGTGACCATATGCCATCAAGTCAACAAGTGACAGGGAAATATTCACAAGAGGGACTCAGGGGAAACAGCACTTTGTTTATCCGCAGTACAGGCAGGATGAGCTTCCCCCACATGGCCTTGCCAACATGCCTTATCCCTACTACAAAGGGACCAACTGTCAGGACAAGAGAAGTCCCTCTCTGTTTGGTGTTGGTTGCCCCTTAGCGGAGGGACCCAATAAGGACCAACAGGAGTAATGGCTTAGGTGACACTTGTCCACTGTGGTCAGGGCTGAGACCCAGCAAACTCATTTCACTAGGTGGCCAAACAGCTCTCAGGCCTGCTTTACACTGGCATAACTTCACCACAGAGGTAATGAGGCCCTCAGTCGCTACTGACCAGGGCTGGATTTGAACCAGCAGCCTGGAGTGACAAGGACCAATCTCCTGAACCAACTACTGTATTTTCTGAGATTTGTTTTAGACTACCTCCAGGGCTGGAGCTTCCTTCTAGAGATGGCTCCACAACCTAACCACAGCCCCCCAGCTCCTGATATTCAGCCTAGGTTTTCCCAACTGCTTTAGTTCTTATATTCTAGTCCCTTGGGGCACATCTACACAGTAGGGCTAAAGCTGAAATAAGCTACGCAACTTGAGCTACATCAATTGCGTAGCTGAAGTCAAAATAGCTTATTTCGGCTTTTGGCGCTCTCTAGACAGCAGGAAGTCAAAGGTAGAACACTCTTCCTCTGACTTCCCTTACGCCTCATGAAACGAGGGCTACAGGAGTTGGAGTAAGAACTCCTCCAGCTCAACATCATGTCGAAATAGCTGCTTGTAGTGTAGACGCAGACTATGTTATTTCGGAATAATGTCCGTTATTCTGAGAACACTGCTGTGTAGAGGTACTCTTGGTTCATTCCAGATAGTGACTCCTCCTCTTGGGCATGTACCTGGCTCAGCCCTTGGCAGGGGGTTCCTTAATCCCATTGACTCATCACAAAGGCAGTAGCATATAGTGCAAAACCCCAGCCATAACCACAACAAGTTGGGAGGCTGCCAGAAAATGCCTGTTTTCATGGCAGCAAACTTCCTCTCCCCCGAACTGATCCGCTGGCAGAGAGACCCTGCCAGCAGCGGAGCCAGAGGGTTTCATGTCAGCAGCCACACTGGAATCACCCCACTGACCTCCCTACGGCAGCTCAGGGGCCCACCTTAGTAGCTGCAACTACTCTTACCACCAAGAGAGACTAGCCGACAAAGATGGGGTGGGGGTGGGGAGTGGAGGGAAGGAGCACAGTGCTGAGAGGCCCAAATAACATGCTTGGGAGTGGCAGGGATCTGGGCACACGACCAACTGGGGCCTCTCACCTTCCATCATCTCAGCCCCGAAAACCACAGCCTTGGAGTTGGAGATGTTGATGCAGTGCAGCAGGGCCTCCATGCGCAGGTGGGAGTTCACAAGCGCTGCCTCCACCCCAATCTTGGCCATCCCCAGCCAGAGGCCCACGTACTGGTTGCAGGACTCCATGAACAAGGCCACGACATCGCCGGAACGGAATCCCTGCTCATACAGGTAGTTGGCCACCTGGCTGGAGTACTCATCCAGCTGGCGGAAGGTCCAGCTCTCACCCGTTCCCTGGAAGATCAATGCCGTCTTCTCCGGGTACTTGTGCACCGTCTTCTGGAAGATCTTGGGAATGGTGTTCTTCTCCCTCACGTGCCGCCACACCTGCCACTTGACCCTCAGCAGGACTAGACCCGTGCTGCCAACCAAATGGCCAGAGGATTCTCTGCACTCATCCATGTGGAGGCCATGCAACTAGACCCAGCCTAGACTGCAGGCCTCCCTCCCATTGCTCAGGGGAAGCAGGGGATCTGGGTCATGTGGAGGGAGCAGGGATGCAGTGTTCCCATAGTCTATGGTGGCAGGAAAGAGCTTTCCAGAGGGACCCTTTATCACCAGGAACTGATTACACCCAAGAAGCAAGGAAGAGGTCAGAACCCAGCCACTTGCCCCAACCTGGGTTATGAAGGCTCCCACCACCTTGGGGCAGCAGATACTGTGCAACAGGCCAAGGAGCACCTTGTTCCCTCCTACTCACACCCCCCTGCTGCCTCCCTGGAAGCCAGCTCATCCTTGATCATAGTGCGTTCTTTTCTCAGGTCCCGGATGCAGACACCTGACTGCCAAGTCGTCAGGGACCGACTGAAGTACAAGGTCAGAGGCAGTCACCAGCCTCAGGCTTTCAGCTGCAATCATCTCGGGGAGACACGGTGAGAGATCCCAGCGAGATCCTGGGTCCCCAGTGAGACTCCCTCCCTTGCCTGGCAGGGGCTGAGACCCCCCTGCTGAGCTGCCCGGGGCTGAGCTGCAGGCAAGATGTTGGTATTTGGAGCACTCCACTCTCATTCCTGCCTTCCCCCAACCAGAGCAGGATGCTCCCCACATCTTGGCTGCCTCAGCTCCCCCTGCCTCGCTGAGGGTCACCTGAATGCAAACTGGGACAGAGGCAGATTGCCTTAGGACACTTACGTGATGTCCCTTCTTATTGTCTTGAAGACAATGCGCAGGAACTTCCATCCCCCAGAGCCCAAGTAGAATATGATGAGTGCAGGGATCACCTGGATCCAAGAGAGTTTCAGGACCAGCCTGAAGAGCACGAAGAGCGCGGTGAGGGCAGCCAGCCGCAACATCTCAGCCTGTCGGGGGAGAGAGTGGAGATCAGTCACCAGTTTTGTCTTTGATGATTCCCCAGAACAAACACCAACCTGGAGCAGGAGTGACAAAGAAACTGCAATTTCCCTGCCTTGGGAGCTGTCAAGGTGGGAGCAGGGAGGGAAAAATGGGCCAAGTCCCGCTCCCCTTACACAGGTCACACATGGCAATAAAGTAAGCAGGATTGAACCCCTGCATGGCACTCTGTTGGGCTTCCCTGAAAACTGATTGGTAGCAGCATATGAAGCCATCTGAAACAGCCATTGCCAGGATGTCTTCTGCCCCAGGCTGGGCCTGCACTTACCCCAAGCACAGCTCACCAGGGAGGTGTAGGTAGGGCTCCATCTGCTAGTTTGATAAGAATCAGTGGTGACCAGCCCTACTCAAAGCAGGCTGGCCATGAGCAGGTGTCTGCCAGGACTGAGACCATAACAGCAACATGCAGGAACTAGAATTGTAATTAAATTTAGAGGGGAGGATGGGACACAGGATGGAACTGGGAGAAGGTAAAACGAGAGGATAAGAATGCAGGGATCGAGTCCAACGCTGTAACTAGGTATTTTTGCGCCTGGGGCAAAATATGAATGACGTACCCCCTCTCCTTGGGTTAGCCCGTGTCGCACTCTTTTGCGGCTTATTACTTTTACGTATTGTATCTTAGCGCTCCTGAGTATGATGCACCTCGGGCGAGTGTCCCACTTGCCCCGCCCTTGTTACGAACCTGATCGAGTCAGGCAGATCTCTCTTCTACAGCATTGTATGTTGAACTCAGTGGACCAAATCCCCTCTTGGAGTAAACTGGTGTCACTCCATTCATGTCGCACAGACATCTTTCAGCCAACCTAGCGGAGCTATGTTAATTTAATCTAGCAGAGATATGGTCCTTCCCACTTGGGGAGCTGAACATGGGGACATAATGAGAGACTGAGAGATATGTACCAGGAGCTAGAGCACAAGACTGGGAATCAGAGGCCTAATCCCAGTTCTGACACATGCGCTTTCTCTGTGGCTTTGGACAAGTTCCACCATCTCCCTGCCTCCGTTTCCCCACACATGAAACAGTGATAATATGCATGGGACCATTGTGCAGGTGTCAGACATGTCACTGATGCAGTGCTTTCTGGTCAAGGATGAGGTTTCAAACTAGCAGGTAGCTAGCAGAATAGACTTCACTAGCATGCCCAAAGACTACAGACTCAGGTAAGATACAAAGGCACCCAAGTCATGTTCATTGTCAAACAAAGTACGTTAATAGTTGTCGGTAGCCAGATGGCCTCCGAGCCCCTATGCATTTGTACCGGCCTTCATGCTTTCCTCTCAAGGGGCGCAGGGTAATGCCAGGGCAACCTCAAGCCACAAGCACAAACACTCTCCCCTACGGGTCAGCTGTGACTTTCCTGCATTACCATCTCCCCCGCAATCCTCCTCACTGGCAGCCAGACCAGGTGGGGAGACTACTCCTGTGGGTTGACATTTCCACTGGCAGTGGCACAGTAGGGCAGCAATTTAGAGGATCCTTCTCCATAACAGCAGAACATCCAGTGGGGAAGGCAACCACAGGCTAATCTCCCACAGCGGTCAAGGTCCCACAAGCAAGGCTGGTGCTTCCCACAAGCGCAGGGTGAAAGGGAAGAAAATTAAACACATTATTTCTTATTCACTCTTGCAAATCAATGTAGCTGATCAGGCTAAACCGCTTGCTTGCCTATAGTAGGGATATAAGTGACTAGTCAAGTAGTCGACTACCCGATAAGCCTAGGCTTATCAGGTAGTCAAGTCACTACTCGACTAGTCACTTCCCCCATCCCTTACTGCCGCTATCAGAGGGTACATCTAGACTAGACTTTTGTCGACAGATACTGTCGACAAAGCTTCTGTCGACAAAGAGCGTCTAGACTACATTCATTGTTTCAAGAAAACTTCTGAACATCCCTAATAACTTCATGATAATTGGAGCAGAAATCTGCATATATTCCTTCTCTGCATAGGCTTATTGGGTAGTCGAGTCAATACTCCACTAGTTGTTCCCCCCCCTCCCCTTGCTGCGTCGGAATCAACAGCAAGGGGAGGGGAGAGCAGGAGCCGGTGCTGGATGGAACCAGCTTAAAAGCTGGTTCCCCCCAGCACTGTCTCCGCGGGGCAGGAAGGGGAAGCGCAGGGGACCCAACTTGCACTGGGACTGAGCAGTCCTGGCTCATGCTGGGTCTCAAACATGCATCTCTGCTTTTTAAATGTAGCAAGAGCCACCAGGCTTGTGCTGGGTCCCAGACACTGCTCTTCTGTGCCTGGCGGCCCCTACTAATTTAAAAGCAGAGGTGCAGCATCTGGAACCCCAGGGTAAACCAGGACTCAGCTGTCCTGGTTCACGCCCCGTCCCAGACCCTCTGCCTTTTAAATGTAGTAAGAGGGGAAGGCAACCACAAGCTAATCTCCCACAGCAGTCAAGGTCCCACAAGCAAGCTCTTACTATATTTAAAAAGCAGAACCGCAACTAACCCCCTTATCGACTAACTAAGTAGTCAATGGAAATTCCATCAACTACTCAATTAGCTTACTAACTGCTATTTAACATCCCTAGCCTATAGATATATTTTCTGTCTTATTTCCTTATGGTTTGATTATATGCTTATTAATATAGTACAAAAAGTTTATATTCTAAAGTAGTTTGGCTGTAACACAAGAGACTTACAGGCCACTTCCTGTATGCTGAACCATGGCAAAGCTAGCATGCACATGCCTGGGACCTTTCACCCAAATAACAAAGTCAATGTATTCAGGACCTTCCACTTAGATAAAGCAGCCTTCAATGGCATAGGGGCTACCCTCAAACTTAACAAGTACATCACGTCTTTGGAAAAAACCCAAATAATCAATTAAAATAAAATAACCATGTAGGAAAATAACAAATGTGATACACAATCATAGAAGGGGACATGTAACAAACTGACACATGATAATAAGTTGAGATCAATGCTATACTGACCTATAGGAAAAGACACTTCACAATTAGTAAGGTGAGGAAATACGAATAAAGAGAGAGACTTCACCTACTGAATATGCATCAAACAGAACATCAGTGTAATATATTATAAAAGTGGCATCCCAGCCTGGGGGCAGTAGGAGGAGATTTAGGAGGTGCCAGAATGATGTCCCCTGGTGACAATGGGAAGGGTAACGAGGAAGATGAAGGCTAACACTTCAGGCCATTCTAGAAGGAACAGTGTAAGTATGTGGCATGGAAATTCAGATGTACAGTCTGTCTATTTTGTGCAGTTGTGGTGTTTGTGATTGTGCTACATGTGTTAATAAACTAAATCTGTAAATATTCAAGAGTTCTGCTCGCATGAGTGTTCCACCTGTGTACACCAGGGTTCTCAACCACAGATTCGAATAAAGAGAGAGACTTCACCTACTGAATATGCATCAAACAGAACATCAGTGTAATATATTATAAAAGTGGCATCCCAGCCTGGGGGCAGTAGGAGGAGATTTAGGAGGTGCCAGAATGATGTCCCCTGGTGACAATGGGAAGGGTAACGAGGAAGATGAAGGCTAACACTTCAGGCCGTTCTAGAAGGAACAGTGTAAGTATGTGGCATGGAAATTCAGATGTACAGTCTGTCTATTTTGTGCAGTTGTGGTGTTTGTGTTAATAAACTAAATCTGTAAATATTCAAGAGTTCTGCTCGCATGAGTGTTCCACCTGTGTACACCAGGGTTCTCAACCACAGATTAATTTAAATACTAGGACTGATCCTGGGACAACCCTCAAAGTGACAACTGGAAATTAATCGATACAGTGAATACAACATCTAAAGATTGGGCAGCACAGATTTAACGACCCTGAACTGGCAGACACCTTTGACCCACAGTGATTGGGGCAACAATGGATCTCCTCACAATTACAAGCTCGGACCAGGAACCTTTTCGTTCTCTGGACCCAGGAGAAGTCTGGGGGGGGAGGGGAAGTGCTCTGTGCAATCATCCCCTGGCTCTTACTCTCTCCAGACAAACATGGGAGCTTGGCTGCTTTTGAGCTCACTGGAGGAGACATCTCTTTGGCATCACACACTTCTCCCAGTCCTCTGAGGCTAGCAAGAGCACTGCTGAGGGCTGCAGAGAATACCCTGAAGACGGGCTGTTAATGCAGAAACCTAACCCAGGGGGATGTGGGCCAACAACATGATGATGCACGGGGGGAGGGGGAGCTAACTGCTGACTGGATCCCCTAGGCACAGGCGAGAACACTTTTTGGGTTGGGGGCCACTGATCCACAGAAAAATCACACACAAGTGAGAAGCAGAACAAAAACCTCACCATGGCCCCCGACTGAGAAGGAGAAAGATAATCCCCCACATTTCCCCTCACACACCAGAGCCTGGGGTGAGCCAAGCCCAGTAGATTTTGTGCACTACAGCCCCCAGGGAGAGCAGTAGGGGGGCTGGAGCACCAGTATGGGCTCTCCAATGCTGGAAGGGTGGAGGGGGGCTGAACCTAAGGGGCCGGAACCAGGCAAGCTGAGGGCCGCAGCTGGCCCCAGTCACAGATAGCCATTCCTCACCCCTTGTTCTAAGCACTCCTGTAACATGCATATATGACTACGGACTCAGATTTCCTGGGAATGTTGTGTGCAATCCTTCCAGGTTCAAGGATCCCAGACTTCCAAACTTCCATCCCTCTTGTTGCGTATTAACATCCATCAAACTCTCCTCTTACCCTTCTCCTTCTGAAAGCTCCCAAGACCCCCATTCCCTGAGATACTAAGCTGTAATGACCTCTCCAACACATCCCACATTCTGCCTTTCAGCTGGGCAGGACCTACTCTTTGTTTGGCTCCAGTCACCAACTGCACACAGTGTTGTGCTTTAGTGATTTTATCCAGGGAAGGGCTGGAGAAGCAGAGCTTCTAGGTTCTGTTCCTGGCTCTTCCCAGAACCTCCCTGATCTGGAAGATGGGGCTAATGGGCAGAGTCACAGATAGCCAAGATAATAAGGCAGGCAGGCAGGCATTTGTATCGCAGTGGTTCTGAGAGGCCCCAGGCAGGGTCAGGAGAACCCTACGTGCTTGGTACTGTATAAGGGCTGCTTATTTCAGAGGGAAGTACTATTCACTATTGTCCGCTGTAGCCTATCTGCAGGCAAACCCCTGCACCCACAAGGAACCCTACTGACCTCAGAGGGCTGCCATGCAGGGGATCTGATGGGGCCTTCCCCTGAGCCATGGTTAGCTTCTTTCCAGGGGTATCAGACTCACAAACCTCCTACAACCAGCATCTAACGCAATCACAGTATGCTGTGAGCACCCTGTTCTTCAAAGCACCAAGTCTGTCTGTCCCTCTCCTGCCAGTCCCCCCATTTTCTGATGCATTTGGCTTTCCAACCCCAAGCTGGCTGTGTGCCAAGAAGAGGACACACTTAACTAAGTCACTCCATATGCCAGCAGAAAGGAGAGTCAGATCATAAGATACAGAGGTCCTGGGATTGCAGCACTCAGGCCAGGAGCAAAACTACCTGAATTACATGTCCTGGAACATCCTCAGGGCCTCTCAGCCACCTCTCAAAGCATCAAGGTGCAGGAGCTGCTCCCAAGACAACAGGCTGAGATGTTGAACCCATGCTGGTTTCTGCTCCTTCCCGGCATAAAGTGCAAGCCTGGGAGGCATTGCTCCAACCAGGGCTTCATCGCCCATTTGATTTTTATATTAGGAATTCAGGTCGTCTGGCTGCACCAGCATGAGGAAAATTAGGGTTGATAACTTGCTTGCCGCAGGGCACGGGGGCATTCTGTGATTGTGACCGCTCCTAGTTTTCCTAGTACAGAGGAGACCTTTGGAGCCTGGAAAGCCAATGAGAATCAGCCCAGGAGCCAACTGAGGCAAGCAGATGGGAAAGCAAGGGAGTTAGCCAGGCAGGTTCCAACTCTTTCTGGCTAGCTTGTTTCTGTGAATACTTATTTAGCTGCAGTGCCTCATGCCTCCATTCATTGGGGGTGAGAGATCCCAGATATTATCCCCAGAGCTTTCCCCAGACAAAGCATAGGACAGGCCTGGTTGTCCTGAAATGTCTATGGGGCAAAACAATGGGATTGTGGACCACTGAAGGTGAAGGACACCCAAAGATAGAGATGGTTACTGCTATGCAAGGTGCCTGTAACACCCTCTTTTCCAGGAAACCACCAATGCCCCAAAAGTAAGCAGTGCTTGCTATGGAGAGAACACACCTCCTGCAGCTGTAGGGTGAGTGGATTCGACATGTGACCTCACTGGAGGACCTGCCCTCCGTGGTAAGGGGGGGGATGCAAATGGCTCCTCCCTTCCCCAGAGTCACACGTATGTGTCAATGAAGCTTGGCTGTTCTTGAGTGACTCCAGCTTCCATACCTCCCCTTGCCTAGCATAGGAACAATGCTTCAACATCAAAGGAGATCTGAGCAGGATCTTGTATCCTGTTGACTTTCATTTCAGTACCCAGCCAGAAAAGGCAAGATCCACTTAGAATCATAGAGCTGGAAGAGACCCCAGGGGAAAAAAACCCCCAAAGAGTCAAACAAGCTCAGCACACAGCAAGAAAACCCCAAACACAAACACAAATACTCACTACAGACAGCCATTTCCCTCAAGGGTCCTGTATTAGCTTCTTCCTTTATCTGGAGAACTCCCTCTCCAAACTCCCTGTTAACAGCCCCTGTTCGCAAGTTCCCTGGTCACTGACTCATTCCTTTATAAAACCCTGGACTAGACTTGTCAGAGACGGAGCAGCCAGGTTTCTAGGAGATCCC